AAAAATGAGTCTCAAAAGAATAACCCCCAAACGTGAGTTCTTTTACGAGATGTAATCCTTATTTATATTTTAAAACATAACCTGGTTTACATTGGCCACCTTTTTTGTAACGTTTATTTGCATATAGGTATATTAAAATAGTGGTAACACATGAAAATGGGACTGATAATATAGCTTTTTGGACTTTGAGAAGAAATATTTATCTGAGTTTAGTCTACTGAATTTAAAAGAGGGTTCAGGTGAAACTAGAAAATGAGATGAATATTAATGGAGTTAAAGTTAAGATAGTAACATTAAATCAGAATAATTTAGTAAACTTATCTGAGATTCGTGGAATAAAAAGTTTAAACTAAGCTGGCACTCAAGATGGTCTCGGCAGGTATGATTTTCATCTTTAAATAATTTCTTGGTCTGTTGCCTTCACATATCTCCTACTACATGTCATTTAATCAGTGCAGCTACAGCGTGCACTCTCAAGACATCATTACCTGCAGTCCCCTCAGCGTGGGCCGAACTTTACCATACCATTTTATTTATGGAGCACTTAAAACAGCAACAAGGCCAACCAAAGTGCTGTACAAAGATAACGTTACTAACACTGATATATTTTACCTCTGTTAGATTTATTTTTCTGGCTAAAGTTTTACAAGGCAATAGCCTTTTCTACGTTATCTAAACTTTAGCATGCTAACTTGCACATAGCCAATGACAAGCGGGTTGGAAGATTGAAGAGAATTTGTAGATTATTTTTTAATTTTAAGATCAGTTCAAATAAACTTGCCATGCTCTCTGTTTAGCAAAATACCACAGTATTGCTCGCTGCTTCGGCTGGACTGAAAGTGAAACTTAAGTGAACGGCCATGACTTGAACTTAGTCTTCATTCGCCCTCTGCTGGATACATTGTACAATTATGGCTTGTTCCAAGCGTTTTAGTGGTGAAAATCAGAAGTGCTTATATCTGAGAATAATGGGACCATTATCACCAATCCTGATAAGTAGAAGATGTAAGATGGCCGCGCTCAGAGCAGTTGCAGCTTCACAGGCTCCCGGTACCATCCCAGTTTTTAGAAGTTTTGATATTGACTCTGTGCCTGACTCCGCGCGATTTATGCGTGTGAACTATAGCCGAACCGAACTGATGAGAATAGGAGCGGATTTGCCACGAAATATAGCAGAAATCGGCAACAAACTCAAAACTACGCTCGGCAGAATGCAGATCTTAAAGTCATCTACCTGGAAGCTGCAGCAGAGGCGTTCCAGCGGGCAGAAGAGGAAGCGCTGCTCCCGGCTTAAGAGGAGAGGATGCCGGGCGGGGGTTATGGTGAGGCTACGAGCTAACGCTAAAGCCGGTAAACTCCCCATGCCGTCTCTCTTTCTGTCGAATGTCCGCTCGTTGGACAAGATGGATTTACTTCGTCTGAGAGCGGGCGCCTCAGAAGAGATGAAGAAGTGTGCAGTGCTTTGCCTCACGGAAACGTGGATTACAAGCGAAATGCCGGACACAGTCTTCCAGCTGGATGACAGACTTTTTTTTCGAGCGGACCGCTGCAGCGAGCTAACGGGGAAGTCACGGGGAGGCGGAGTGTGCATTTACGTGAGTAAAAGTTGGTCCACGAACTGTACTGTTGTAAATAGCTCATGCTCGAAGGCTTTGGAGCAAATAACAGTGAAATGTCGGCCACATTATCTACCCCGAGAGTTCACAGTGACTTTTATCACAGTTGTTTACATTCCTCCGGACGCTAATGCTAATGAATCACTGCAGGAGCTTCATGATATCATCAGCTCGCTGCAGAGCAAACACCCCAAAGCTCTTTACGTGGTAGCCGGAGACTTTAACCACGTGAATCTAAAGGACTGTCTCCCAAGCTTTAATCAGCATGTGACGATTCCGACACGTGGAGACAAGACGCTGGACCGTGTTTACACGAACGTAAAAGATGCATACAAAGCCGAACCCCGCCCCCACCTAGGACTGTTAGACCACATCTCAATCTTCCTGGCTCCTGCTTACATGCTCCCGCTGAGACGCTCCAGACCGGTACAAAAGAAAGTTAAATGCTGGATCCAGGACAGTGGCCCCATACTGAGAGATTGTTTTGATCGAACAGACTGGCAGGTTTTCAGAGAAGCTGCTGAAAATGGAGGTTCGCTTGATCTTGACCAATACACATCCTCAGTTCTGGGTTACATTAGTACATGTACTGACACCGTTTCCACTATCAGAAATGTTAAAAGCTACCCAAACAGAAAACCTTGGCTGAATGCAGAGGTGCGTACCCTGCTGGAAGCCAGGAACACTGCCTTCAGGTCTGGAAACTCAGAGGAGCTGAGTAGGACAAGAAAAGAGCTGGTTGCTGGTATTAAGAGGGCCAAGGCCACATATGCACAGAGGATCGAGGGTCAACTCATCTCACAAGACCCTCGAAGCATGTGGAGGGGCATTAAGTGCATAACAGATTATAAAGGAAGGAGTGAACAATGCCCCAAAGACCCATCTCTGCCTGATGCCCTCAACAAGTTCTATGCACGCTTTGAAGACCCGAACAGACCACCCAGCACCAGACTCACCTCACCACCGGACGTAGAGCATCTCAGCGTGACCTCAGCAGAAGTAAGGAGTACCTTCAGGAGGATTAATCCGCACAAGGCAACTGGCCCAGACAACATCCCTGGAAAAGTGTTGAAGGAATGTGCTGATCAGCTCTGTGAGGTGCTGGCAGACATCTTTAACACCTCACTTACCCTGGAGACAGTTCCCACCTGCCTGAAGACTGCCACCATCATCCCAGTCCCAAAAAGCTCTACAGTGACTGGTCTGAATGACTATCGGCCAGTGGCCCTCACCCCGATAGTTGCTAAATGCTTTGAAAAACTGGTCATGACTCACATCAAAACAACCATCAAAATTAACGAGGACCCTCATCAGTATGCATACCGTGAGAACCGATCAACAGAGGATGCAATCTCCTCTGTGGTCCACACTGCGCTCAACCACCTGGAGCAGAAAAACTCTTACGTCCGTATGCTCTTTGTGGACTTCACATCCGCCTTCAACACCATGATCCCCCAAACCCTGATGGACAAACTATCCACACTAGGACTAAGCCCCTCCATCTGCAACTGGGTACTAGACTTTTTAACAAACAGACCACAGTTAGTGAGGATCCACAACCTCTCCTCCTCCACCATAACCCTCAGCACTGGCTCTCCTCAGGGATGTGTGTTGAGCCCCCTCCTGTTTACTCTGCTCACATATGATTGTGCAGCTACCCATCCAGGCTGTCACATTGTAAAGTTTGCAGATGATACAGCGGTGGTGGGATGCATCACAAACAATGATGAGTCCAGCTACAGGCAAGAGGTGGAACACCTGGAGAGCTGGTGCAGAGAGAATAACCTTCACAACAATGTGAAGAAGACAAAGGAGATGATTGTGGACTTCAGAAGGAACAAAAACACCTACACCCCCCTGAACATAAGAGGATCTGCAGTGGAAGTGGTCTCCAGCTACAAGTACTTGGGTGTACACATGAATGACAACCTCAGCTGGAGCAACAACACCACCAGCCTGATCAAGAAAGCTCATCAGAGACTCTACTTCCTCAGACGGCTGAGGCGAGCTGGTCTGGGAAGCTCAGTCCTCACCTCCTTCTACAGGTGTGCAGTGGAGAGCATCCTGTGCTCGAGCATCAATGTGTGGCATGGAGGCTGCACAGCTGCAGAAAGAAAAGCTTTGCAGAGAGTGGTGAAGGCTGCACAGAAATCTGTTGGAATCAGCCTCCCCACCATCACAGACATCTACACCTCCAGATGCAGGAAGAGGGCCACCTGCATCATGAAGGACCCCACTCACCCAGCACACACACTTTTTGCCCCACTCCTCTCAGGAAGGAGGTTAAGGAGGATTAAGTGTAGAACCACTAGACTGAGGAACAGCTTCTACCCTGAGGCTGTTAGACTCATGAATCTCTAACTAGAATAATCACTGTGAAAAACCATATCATGTTGCTGCTGATCTGTTTCATGTTGCTGCTGATCTGTTTCAATGTTGATGTGTTCATGCGTGCACATCTGCTCACAGACTCATGTTCATGTTTGTGCTGATGTTCAATGTTTTGTGTTATGAGTGCTTAGTGTATATTTAGTTGATGTTTTTCTTAGTTCATATCTTAGATGTTATTACAGTTTTTCTTTTACATTTTATTGTTGGATGTAACTGGGACCCTGTGTACATAATTTCGCTCCACCACATGTACCACATGAGGTGCGAATGACAATAAAGAAACTCTGACTCTGACTCTAAGTCCCAAAGGCCTATGTTGGCCTAAAATAGCGGGCCTACCGATATATCGGCCGGGCTCTAGTGAACACTGCAGCTGTGGATTCTAAAAGGAAACCCAACTGGAGAGGAGGAAACACTAACACTTGCTGAGTTAGTTGAAGAAAGGAAGCATATTGTAAAAGGAAAGTTCAGTCCCACTGTATCTAAGAAAGAAGTGAGGGAGGACATGTCAAGACTTTTGACTGCCTTTCATGTAGCCTTTTGTTTTTGCTCCCATTTTTCATGAGCTGAACTCAAAGATCTACGTCTTTTTCCATGTACACAACAGTCCCTTTTTGTCTCAAAGATTGTTCTCAAATTTGTGTAAATCTGTGTTAGTGAGCACATCTTTGCCAAGATAATCCATCCACCTCACAGGTGAGCATATCAAGATGATGATTAGACAGTTGAGGTGGTTCAGACATCTGGTAAGGATGCCCCCTGGGCACCTCTTTAAGGAGGTGCTCTCATGTCCAACTGGGAGGAGACCCCAGGGAAAACCCAGGGCCTGCTGGAGAGACTGTCTCTCGGTTGGCATGGGAACACCTTGGAGTCCTCCCAGAAGAGCTGGAAGAGGTGGCTGTGGAAAGAGATGTCTGGTCCTCCCTGCTCAACCTGCTGCTTTCAAGACCCAACTCCAGAACCAGATGGATATTTTTTAAAGGGATAAACAGATGAAATAAATGTCATTTTAAAACTTTCTTTTAGGAGTTTGTTTGAAATAATTGCAAAGTTTATGATTTCTTATCAGTTCAGAGGCATATTTGTGCTCTCATAATAACTATTAATGTAAACTAAACTTGCTGCACGTCAAGTCAAATCTATTTATAAAGCACATTTAAAAACTTTGAACTTAAAAAGTCTGTCCTTCATGCACGAGTGCAGAGGATCCCACACTGCAGCTAGGAACCTGGAACAAGCCTCCACATGTGAGACAGCATCACAGGTGACTAATGATAATAAATAATATTTAACACTTTTCATTTAATATAAGTTAAAGTGCTATGTATATATATGGCTGTTACTGAATACATGTCACCAGCTCTTACACAATTTTTGTATCAAGCCTACATAAGAAACTAAGGACTATGTTCTGACAAAGGAAAGTATATAAAATATTGGTATTGGTTATCGGCCAAATAAGTTTTAACATATCAGATATCGGTCAGAAATCGTGCATCTCTACTCTGAATGACTTTTGATGATTCAGATTTGAGAATTGGTGGGGGGAGGGAAAATTTTTTTTGGGGGGGGAAATTAATTTAAATAGCAGCTAAAAACCAACAAACAAACCTTTTGAAATGCCTATTAAAAACCTCACATTAAAGATTATAAGAAGGTTTGATTTCTTTCAGACTATAAATTAAATAAGTAAGTTAGGGATGAGTCTAAGTATTTTTTTATTCCCAGTGGATTTTCAATGCTTGTCACTTCCTCCAGGGTGTAACAGGAAATTGTAGTAAATGTTATAGTTCAGCAAATAAATGTTTAAATTGCTCATTGTTTTAATAGATGTTTCCTGATTTAGGCTTTTTGTGAGCTCAATAACTTTATATGATGTATTCCAGTAAGAGCAGTGCTGTGGATAGTTAATTCACGCCTGTTTTGATTTATTTTCCCAGTTATTTGGTGGTCTGGTATGGATCCTGGTGGCCTCCTCCAATGTGCCGGTACCTCTGCTGCAGGGCTGGGTGATGTTTGTGTCCGTCACATCCTTCGTCCTCTCTTCTTCCTACCTCACCCTCCTCATCACGGGTTTGGCAGACCGCATCAACACAGACTGGAACTTCGTGGTAAGTTGTAGATCAGTGTCCTGAGACGACTTCTGTTGTCACTTGGTGCTATATAAATAAACTGAATGAACCACTCCCGGCTTATTATGTTCACCCAGCTGTTCATTGTGTGAATGTTTATGAAGCATTCAAACCATTGTTTCCTTTTGTTCTTTATTGTTGTTTAGTTCTATGTTTTACTGCACGTACCTGTCTCCACAGTTTTTGTGCTATTTCAACATTTATTAAAACGTTCAGCTCATTCGGGACATTCCAGTTATGACTTGTGGTATTTGTGTACTTTATACATTTAGAAAAATATATACATTTCTCTGCTAATTTTAGTCTAATTGTAAATAGAATCTACCCAACTCCTTTAAAACCTATGGTTTTCCTGCATTTGCTAGTGTTACAGTACTTTTGGCGAAAAAAAATAGCATTTTCGTTCTTTTTGCTAACATTTTTCTACTTCTAGATCTTAATAAACAAATTTCATTTGTCTAGCGTTACAGTAGTTCTGGCTAATTACTAGTGCTTCCCTGTTTTTCATTACTTCTGGCTCTATGAGCTAAATTTGTCTTGCATTTTGCTACATTTTACTTCTGCCTTTTAGCTTGCGTTTATCTGCATTTTGTTAGTTTTTCTACATCTGACCGTTAGCATTTTCCTTAATTCTGCTAACATTTTGGAACTTTTATCCTAGAGTTTTGCTCTATGCTTTTGTTTTGCTGTAGCCTTTTGCTACGTTTACCTTAATGTTAACAATTACTTTTAGCCTTTGTCTCATTTTCAGCTTCATCTTTCAAATATTGACGGATATATGTACAACTGGTGATGGACCGACTAACAGACGAGGTCAGGCAGGAATCCCCATGGATGTTTGCAGATGACATTGTGGTCTGTGGTGAGAACAGGGAACAGGTGGAAGAGAACTTGGAGAGGTGGAAGTATGCACTTGGAAGAAGAGGAATGAAAGTCATCCATAATAAGACAGAGTACGTGTGTGAATGAGAGGGAGGCTGGTGGAACAGTGAGGCTACAAGGAGCAGAGGTCACAAAGGTGCAGGACTTCAAGTACTTGGGGTCAACTGTTCAGGAAAATAGGGAATGTGGTAAAGAGGTGATAATGAGAGTCCAGGCAGGATGGAGTGGATGGAGAAAAGTTTCAGGAGTGATTTGTGACAAAAGAGTGTCAGCAAAGGTCAAAGGAAAAGATTACAAGATAGTGGTGAGACCAGCTATATTGTATGGTCTGGAGACAGAGACATTGACAAAAAGACAGGAGAAAGAACTGGAAGTGGCAGAAATGAAGATGCTAAGGTTCTCCTTAGGAGTGACAAGGATGGATAAGATTAGGAATGAGATCATCAGAGGTGCAGCACAGGTTGAACAACTGGGAGATAACGTTAGAGACTAGACTGAGATGGTTTGGACATGTCCAGAGGAAGGACAGTGGGTATACTGGTAGAAGGATGTTAGAAATGCAGCTGCCAGAAAAAAGACAAAGAGGAGATATATGGATGCAGTTAGAGAGGACATGGAGGTAGTTGGAGTGAGGACAGAGTGAGATCGAGGAGGATGAATCACTGTGGAGACCCTGAAGAGGGAAAAGCTGAAAGAAGAAGAAGAAGAAACCTTCAACTGTTCAAATTCATGCACTATTTATAGTTCAGCTATTAAATAATTTCAGCTCATTTTCAGCTTCTTCAGCAGCTTTCAGTAAATTCAACAATAAGAATTCCCTCTGCATTTTCACAGAAAGTTAAAATTCTGTAGTTATTAATAGTGTTTTGCTATCCATGTTTTTTGGCTGCTTATCTGTGCATCAGCTTAGAAAATGTTTGTCAATATAGCCCATGGAGGACTGTAGCATACGAGTTGTTGCACAACCTACAGCAGGTGTATTTTTAAATGATAATTCAGTTATTAGACAAATAAAGGTTTATTGCTGACCAAAGATCACCTCATGTCGTCAAATTAGATATGCGGCTGTTTTAGTGAATTCTTGAAAACAATGTTAAGTGTGGTCTCAAACGATACTGCAAGTTCTTACATTATTGTTTAGCCCTCAAAACATGTTGGGAATGACTCTCGGCTACTACCACATGATGTTTTAGCTCAATATTTGTAAAATTAAGAGTTATAGACATTCCTGTGTTTGCTAAGGTCGATTAGCTGCGGCAGTTATCCCGAGTTAGCCTGACTCTAAAAGTTAATCAGTTTTCAGACGTACATCTGATCATAACTTCGAATGTTTCATTAAAATCCATCAAGTAGTTTGAGATATTTTGCTAACAGACATGGTTCGATCCAGAAGTTAACACCAAAGTTTGTAGTTAACTGTGATCAGCAGGAGATGAGAGAGAGAGAGACGGTGCGATGTTCTTGTGATGTCTGGGCTCTCAGACTGAGCTGACCTCGAGGGCCACACCCAGAACCTGGGAGTAGGTTCTGGGTAGTGCGTAGTGTGTGGAGTTGTTTGTTGTCAGCAGAACAATGAGAGACATGGATGATGAGCTCACACTGACAGTCAACAAAGGCCTGCTTGTATTTCCGCCAGGCTCTCAGTCGTCAACACAAACCGACCCCAACCCTCATCATTCTTGGACACACCCATCTCCCGTTTCTACAACATTCTCTCTGTTTGATTTTCTCTATCGATATCGGCAACTTTGAATCTCCTAAACTTTGTCTTCCAGACCTTTAATTCCATCTTGAGCCAATATTTACTTGACAGGTTGTTAAAACGTGATGCTTTTTTAGTTTAAAGTCGGTAGTTTTGAGGACGAGCTGCACCGTGCTTCAAAAACCAGTGAATATTTGATAATTGTGTAGTTTTATCCTAATCAGTTGTTCATACCCGAGCAGTTTTCTCAGAACACACTGTGGGATGCAGTGTGTCACAGTCCAAAAGGAGTATTCACTTCCTTTGCCAATCTTTCTGTTTTTGTTGCCTCACAACCTGAAATTAAACAAAGGTTGAATTTGATTAAAAGCAATAATTGTACATGAATCACTCTAGATTAAGTTACATTGTGGGGAACAAAGTTTTAATGATTCTTAAGGAATGTAAAACTAAAGTGATGCAGGCTATAACTCACCTAAACTCCACACTTTGTGTCACCACGCCTTACAGCAGCAAGTGTCTTCATGAGCTCGGTACATGTCAGTGTGGAAATGCTCTTCATGACCAAACTCCTTCAGGTCCTCCGTGCTGGACGGTGCTGCTTGGGTGCAACACTCTTCAAATCAAAGCAGAGATTCTCAGTGGGACTGAGCTCTGGGTTTTCACTGCACCTTTCTAGAGCATTAAACCGTTTCTCTTTAAACCACTCAAGTGTTGCTTCAGCAGAGTCTTAAGGAGCCTCTGTCCTCATCTCCGATCTCTGGAATGGGTTTCTTCATGTGGTTATCCTCTGTCAACACCTTATTCCTCTTCAACTCTGACCAGTTTCCCAGTCTCTGCCACTGGAAAACCATTTTAACAGCATAATCTTTACACTTCTAATAATGGTTCTTCAAATAATGTATAAGGGTTTGAAAATGTATTTTCAGCAGCTGTGGCTGAGTGGTTAAAGCAGTCGTCCTCCAATGGGAGAGTTGGGGGTTCGATTCCACCAGCAGTTACATGTTGAAGTGTCCCTGGGCAAGACACTGAATACCCCATTGCCGCAGATGTGTGTCCCATCAGTGTATGAATGTGATAAAGCTCTTATTAGTCTTTGTAGAGATGTAGTAGAGTAATGTATGAATGGGTACATGAGGGCACAGATTGTAGTGTGAAGTACTTTGAGTATCTTTGATTAGGTAGAAAGTTGTTATGTAAAGTACAGTCCATTTACCGTATACACACACACACATACAATACTTTTAACACTGATTTTCTCTACGTTTCTCCGACCTGCATGTAGAGCTCCTTGGTCTTCATGATGTCTTTTGCTTGGTGGTAGTCCTTGGTGTTAGTGTTGCTCTGGACAACTGTAGGTGGCTCGTTAATTATGTGGCTCGTAAAAGTAACGCTTGGTGCTTTCAAAGGAAAGCGGATAAATACATATGTACACACTACTTTTCTATTATATATTTTTATAAACATTTGAAACGAGTAACAAACATTCTGTCAAGGATGGGTTTATGATTCAATACAAGACAGACACAGGAGTGCAAAAACAAGAACAGATTTGATTCATTTGGCTGCTAGTTGCTGGAGTCAGGGTCCAAGACGCAAGTCCAGTCTTAAAAGACGGACAGGTTAGTGACTTTGGTGAGGACGAGGGGATTCTGCAATTCTAGTAAAAGTCACTAACCTTCTCAGTCTGTATGTGGCAGGTGAAATCCAGACGCGTGGTCTGATGGTCGTAGCGTGGGGTCAAGCACGGGGGAGCAGAAAGTAGATACCAGAGCCAAATTGTGATCCTTTATTGTAGTTGTGTTAGTGTCATTTACCATGGTCAGAAAAACAGTCAAATCCGAAAGAGTCGGGCAAGGCGAGGAAACCGTGGTTCAGGCGTGAGGTCAAGACAAGGTGAGGCAAATAAGGCTGTGGCAAGAAACTATGGAACCATCATGGCTTCAGAATCAGGGACCATGGAAGGTTTAATAATTCGGCACTGGTGGAGAGTGAGCATGGAGCTTATAAAGGGTGCGGAGCAGGCGAACTAGGTGAGAGCTGAACAGGTGAGTGGGATCAGGGCTGATTGCTGTGAGAAGCAAAGGGAGGTGTGGCATGGGAAGGAGCAGGACTGAGCTGGAGATGGATGATGAGCATCACACAGCAGGGGAAGAGAAACTATAGCATGAGGGGCTGAGTGTGAGATCGGTCGATGGGGGGTCATCGGGGGCCACTGACCATGACACATTCTGCAGTGTTTTGTGTAGTTATCGTTTGTATAATCTTAAAATCAATTTAAAAGTCCAGTTTATTTCTTTATTGAAAGGCAACAAAATAAAAAGACTAACAAGGAGGTGAATACTTTATCTGTTTATTCCTGGAAAAAGAAAACGTGGTATATATTTTTCTCCTTTTTTTTAACATACTTCTCCCTTCTTTTCCTCAGGACATGTTTTACCATTTCCTAGCTGTGCTGTTCTACTTTGCGGCCTTCGTGCTGGAGGCTGCGACCACCGCAGCGAACGGAGGCGCTCGCTTCAGTCTGAGTCAGAACTCCACTGAATCGGTCCTGTGTGTCGCGTACCCTCGGGGCAACATATTCACTGTACTGACTCGCAGACAGTTCAACATTAATGTGGCAGCCACGGTGAGTCCTCTGAGATAGTTGCACACGGTGGGTGCAGGCTTTTTAGGATTTGAGTTTGTGTTCACAGTCCAGTTTCAGTGCCGTCACTCAGGTGTTTCTACTCGGGTATCAGGTTATAAAAGCACTTCAGAAGGAGAAAAGTAGGACTGAGTGGTACTAAAAACAAATATCCTGATGCATGCTCAATAATCCAGGTAGAAAAATCTAAAAAGGTTAAATCTGGTCCTCTGGACATTCAAAAAAACAAAACAAAGCAAAACAACAAAATAAAAATGTAGAACCGTTTCGTCTCTCATCCGAGAGACTTCCTCAGTCTGAGGTGCTGTATTCAGCTCAGTCTCTTAAATAGCACCTTCTCAGAGTGGATCAACCAGTTTTGCTGCTGACAACCAAAACCAGCTGATCACATGCTCAAGAAGGACCATCAGCCTAACAATGGATCATTAGCACACTGATGGCTGTGTACTATTCACAGAGGGCTGAGTGATACTAGCAATCACAGCATTGTAAGAGGGGGACAATTGAACCCGGAGGCCTCCACCCCTGTTTAACGATGGACGATTTATTTTCACAAAGATGGCCTCCTTTAATCCTCTCTCAAACCATCGTTCCTCGCTATCCAGGATGTGAACATCTTCATCCCTGAAAGAGTGACCGCTGGCCTGGAGATGAGTGTAGACCGCAGAGTCCTGGCCTGATGATGTTGATCTTCTGTGCTGGGTCATCCTTTTGGCCAGTGGCTGTTTTGTTTCCCCGATGTAAGACTGATCACAGCCCTCCTGACACGGAACAGCATACACAACATTACTCTGTTTGTGCCGGGGGACTGGATCTTTGGGATGAACCAAAGGAAGGTGCACAGTGATTTTGAATCAGAAAGACTACCATGAGAAAGTTATGACACTCCTTAGTGACTTAAACACTTATGAACCTCTGAAAAGAGATCCAGGAAGTGGTTACAAGAAGAAATTGATAGATTGCCTGAAAATTTTTGAGCAGGACAAGGCTATTGACCGTTTTCTGTACCACAGACTGTACCCAGGGGAGGCCACACCTAGTCTGTATGGTTTACCTAAAATCCACAAACAAGGTGTACCTTTAAGACCTATCGTTAGCATGATTAACTCTGTCACTTACAATGTTTCCAAATATCTGGCGTCTGTACTGTAGTATGACATATCCTGAGATATTCACCTGATTAAAACGGATTCTTTCATTTTTCTGGACTGAATATAAACGTGCATTGAATTTAATGAAATGTGGACGTGAGACGTTAATTACCTTTGACTCACCACGACAGTGGGTCATTTATTAACAGAATCAAGTTTAACACATCAAACATTTACATTAATTTGGCAAAATATGAAAATAACAACATAATTAATCAGCCAGCTGTACAATTATGATCAAGTATCCACACGGCGGTGGATGAGCACTTTACACAGACATTTCTAAAATATCTGGAATGATTTCTACTTGATAGAAGAATTTAAAGATGGAAAATGAAGTTTAAAGGGAGTAAAAGATGGTGTGTGAGGGAGAGTGTTGACCAGAACCGACACTCTCCATTCGAACCCAGCTTTCCTCGGTACGCTCGGTAGTGAACTTGACTCGTTACCTCTCTGAAGATGAATCAGCGGATACGGAGTTCCAGTTAACGCTACCTGTCCAGCGTCTCCATAGGATGGCTGTGACTCGTCCGAAGTAGTGACGATATCCCGTCTGACACAAGTTCACCTCAGCCAGTGGACCTCACATGAGTGGGGTTCGTCCGAGTTCCACTCAGAGGGAATAGATGTTATAATCCCAATCTCGGAAGAGCCTTATCATGGCGAGACTTCTGTTCTCCCAAACGACTGGAGCTGCAAACTCTCCAGCCCGACTCCAACGGCAACTCACAGAACTGAAACTTCACAGAACTGCCACTTCACAGAACTACTGCTCACAGAACTGAGAGAACTAGGAAGTACCGACATTTTAAAGGGCTCTATTTCCGGTTCATTTGGGAGTCCCTGATTGGTCAATGTCGACCAGACAGGGGTGTGGTTTGTGACGTAAGAGGTTACTAGAAGTCAGAAAAACAGCAAGAATGTTATAGAACAGATTGAAACTGTTTTTCAGACAGCCGAGAGAAATGTTTGGGCGAGTTTGGAGAAACAGGTGCCAACTTCTCTGTTTACGTCTGAGAGGATTTAAAAACAAGACAGTTGTTCCAACACTTGTCTGCTTCGACTCCTGACCTTGGAAAACGTACACTGCTCATTCAAAGACAGAAATCAGAAAATGCATAATTACTCTGTAACAGGCCTTAACATGAATTCTACTTTGCATAAGCAACTAAAAAATCATTGTTACTGTTTTACAGTTAATAAAATTGATTAGTTCACTGTAACATCTAAAATGTTTGAACTAAAACACTTTGATTATCAAACATTTGTAAAACAGTAATGATAATAGAAAAGAGTGTTCTTTCACTTGAATTTTCAAGAAAGAAAGTCTCAGGATGGGTGAACCTGTATTTCTGGATGCAAATCAATGAAATGACAAGTTATGTCCCATATGGTCCTTAGGTCAAGGTTTTGACCTTCGGTCTAGTCCACTACAGTACTCATCCCTTTAGTTGGCAGCTCAGAACACCACATACAGAACACCATGGACTTTGTGGATAAGGTGAGGGATGTCATCATGGAGACTGATGAAACAATGGTCTCTTTTGATGTCACATCACTCTTTACGTGCATTCCTGTTGATGATGCAGTAGAGGTGGTCAGTTTAAGATTAAAATCAGACACCACTCTGAGCAGCAGGACCACGCTTTCCACAGAACAACTGTGTCAACTCTTGAAACTGTGCCTGCAGTCAACCTACTTCACATATGGGGAGCAATATTATAGGCAGAAACATGGGTGTGCTATGGGGTCTCCAGTTTCTCCTATTGTTGCCAACCTGTACATGGAGGAGGTAGAAAAGAGAGCCTTGACGTCCTTTTCAGGGACACCACCAAGTCATTGGTTCAGGTATGTTGACGACACCTGGGTTAAAATCAAATCTCAGGAAGTCCAACATTTTACTGACCACATCAACTCTGTGGATAAATACATCAAGTTCACACGAGAAGATGAAAAAAATGGCAAGTTGGCTTTCTTGGACTGTGAGGTCTCAGTCTCTGATAGAGGACAATTGCAAACTGAGGTGTACCGCAAACCCACCCACACAGACCAGTATTTGCAGTTTGACTCTCATCACCCTTTGGAGCACAAGTTAGGAGTCATCAGGACTCTGTATCACAGAGCAGACAGCATCCCCACTAACTCGGGAGCCAGGCAGAAGGAGAAATCCCACACAAGACAGGCTCTAGAGCAATGTGGATATCCTAACTGGGCCTTCCTAAAAGCAGAGAAGAAACCCAAACAGGACTCCAGTCAGCCAACAGGTGAAAAGGAGGAACCCAGACCAGTGGTCATTCCGTATGTTGAGGGAGTATCAGAGAAACTGAGACGTTTATTTTCTAAACACAACGTCCCAGTGGCTTTTAAACCCCAAAATACTTTACGGCAAAGACTGGTTCATTCCAAAGATCCAGTCCCCCGGCACAAACAGAGTAATGTTGTGTATGCTGTTCAGTGTCAGGAGGGCTGTGATCAGTCTTACATCGGGGAAACAAAACAGCCACTGGCCAAAAGGATGGCCCAGCACAGAAGATCAACATCATCAGGCCAGGACTCTGCGGTCTACACTCATCTCCAGGCCAGCGGTCACTCTTTCAGGGATGAAGATGTTCACATCCTGGACAGAGAGGAACGATGGTTTGAGAGAGGAGTAAAGGAGGCCATCTTTGTGAAAAGAAACCGTCCATCGTTAAACAGGGGTGGAGGCCTCCGGGTTCAACTGTCCCCCTCTTACAATGCTGTGATTGCTAGTATCACTCAGCCCTCTGTGAACAGTAAACAGCCATCAGTGTGCTAATGATCCATTGTTAGGCTGATGGTCCTTCTTGAGCATGTGATCAGCTGGTTTTGGTTGTCAGCAGCAAAACTGGTTGATCCACTCTGAGAAGGTGCTATTTAAGAGACTGAGCTGAATACAGCACCTCAGACTGAGGAAGTCTCTTGGATGAAAGACGAAACATTTCTACTTTTTTTTTTTGTTGTTGTTTTGCTTTGTTTTGGTTTTTTTGAATGTCCAGAGGACCAGATTTAACTTTTTTAGATACTAAAAACAAACAATACGCTTGATGTTTAGTTTATACATAAATAAAAAAAAAAAACCTAAAGTACTCAATGACTTTGACTGAGTGAGTGTTCAAAGTCCTGAGGAAGTACCGGTAATACTTTAACGGACATCCTGGAGCAGTTATGGAAAATGATGCAAGTTGATGAATAAAAGATAAACTGTGCAGCCCTGATAAAAAGAATAAATAAATAAAGGAAATCTTATGTTGCAATATCATTCTCACTGTTGTACGAGCACATAAGCTATGATAGCCCCGTAGGTTAGACCATATGTGTCAAACTCAAGGCACGGGGGCCAAATGTTGCCCTTGTTGACATCTTATCTGGCCCCCAAGATGATATGTGAAATGTAAAATATTTCTATCTCTTGATTTTTTTTCAGTAATCTTTGATTATGATGTTGAAAGCACAACAGAGAACATCAAATGAGACCAATCAAACGCTTGTTGAGGAAACTATGACCAAGAAAAGATGTCGGGTATCTGATTTGAGTTAATGTAGTTTCTGAAATTGGCCCTTAGTTTGAAAAAGCTTTTAATTTTTTCCCTCTTTTGTAAGTGAGTTTGACACCCCTGGACTGGTATCTTGTATTCTTCTATGCAGGACTCCCTCCCCCCCCCCCCCCCCCCCCCCCCCCCCACACACACACACCTTTCAGGGTTAGATTTCAGCTGTGCTCCTGACTGCTTGTTTCATTTAGCATATGAAATATTGTAGTTTTTAATTAGTGGTCATAAAGATTTATTTTGTTTTATTGCCGTAATAAACCAACTGAAATCTCCCACACGTGAACTGTTCTTCTGAACGGTGGTACTGGTTCTGAGATGGTTCTAGATAAAGGCACAGACCTAGATTGACTCTTTAACTTACCTGCTGATTGGCAGTTTACTTGGAGATGCATAATTTGCTATTAATAAGCTATAAAAGGACAATAAAAATACCTAACATTTGCTGAATAGCATGAGTAAAAATGCTCTCGGAGAACATTTGATTGTTGTACATGATGGTTGATTGTTTTTGATGGATGGGTGTGTTTGCATGTGTTAAAAGCCTTCTTCTGAGATTCCAGCAGGAGGTTGGCTTGAAACACAGCAGTGAAGGCTACCTATGGGACAGATCTGGTTGGCAGGCCTCAGACTGAAGAAGTCCTCTGGATGGGAGACAAAATATTTCTAAATTAAAGAAACTGGTCCATATGACACGATTTAACCTTTCTTATTCTCGGATAATTGAGCCTACAAACCTGTTTTTGCTTTCTCTGAGGTTCTTGTTTCTCTTTTAGCTCTCCGTACAAATTATTGTTGAGTAATTTGTTTTCTCTCTGTCCCAGATATTTGCTTTTCTGGTGACCCTTTGCTACAGCTGCAGCTTGGTGATGGGGTTCAAGAGATGGAGGAAGTAACCAGAAAAATGAACATGAACTAGCGTTACGTGCGATTAATAACTTCAACGTATCTGCCTTCAAAGCTCTTCCCCATAACCCAGCGATGGCGCTTGGTATTATCCTGACTCCACTTCAAGCACTCTGTGGGAACATGGAGGTGACGTTCAACACATCGGGGCAGTATTGTTACCATAAAGGTTTTTCCTATGATGCTGATGAATCAGATGTTCAAAGATTTAATCTGTCTGAGGTATTTAGAGGATGACCTCCAGGTTAACATGGTATAAACTGATATACTGTGAGAAATGTGAGATCTGTGCAGGCTTTTCCTGTATGTTAAATAGTATTTTTAGAATTTGAAAAGTAATTTTGGTAGATAAAATGGGTTCCTGAGAGTTGCTTCTTTCCTATGTAATTGAACAGATCTTACTGCATTTCGTCAGTCCTCACAGTAAAAAAAAAAAAAAATCTAATTTTTAGAGGTGAAGTGCCTGAGTGCTAAACCTCAGCAGATTAATTGAACATCTGTTTGGTTCAAACACAACCTCATAGTTTAGGATGTTTTGGTGCAAAGGAGTCGGACATAAGCTTTGACATAAAGTCGTACTGTGCACATTTTCCCACCATCTGTTAAGCATTAATTATTTTTTGTTTTTTTTTTACAGTAGTGTAATCTACACATTCAACATATCTCAATTTACTAATGCTGTAATCTAAGAACTGGTTTAAATTAATCTGGTACTGCAGTGATTTCCACTAAATAAACTAATCACATCAATACAACAAAAAGGGGCAATAATTGTAATGTGTTTGCCAACTGATGGGTTATTTAGTTGTGTTTTGAATAGATTTTATTAGTATTTAATGCATTATTTAACGGCTTGAATTAATTATTTGACTTGGCACACAGTTTATCATTTAATGTAAACTTTTGTATTGGACAACTTAAAATAGTTTTGATTAAAAGTTTGATTGTTTTTAACTTGCTTTTTAGTACGAAAGAAATTAAAAAAAATCTTACAATTCCTGTATGTGCTTCTTTATTTAGTGCATTTTCAAAGTGAACTTTATCAAATACATACCACCTTTAATATTGATCAATAGATCGAAATGATTTGCATTCCTGCTCGTATGAGTTTTATGAAGTTAGTATTTGTACAAATGCAGCAAAGGACAGATATTTGAATGCAACATTTTTCAGAAAAGCTAAATATTAAAACCATCACAGTTGAATTAGAAAGTACTGGGCTGAAAAGGATTCTACGTCAACTAGAATAAATATATTAAACTTATTTAACTTTTTCCAGGCAGAATGGACAATAATCACTAAAATATTTAAATTTATGATTGTTGTGAATAATTGTATGTTAAAGTTTATTCTCCTTTACAGCAGTGAATGGAATATATTCCTATCAATTCAGTTTATTTATGTAGCGCCAAATCACAACAGAAGTCGTCTCAGGGCACTGAACAGAAACGTTAAAGTCAGTCATATAAAGTCAGTGAATAATGTTATTTATCTAAGGAGCCAGCAGATTGCTTTGAGGTTTCACTTTATTGCAGTCTCAAGTTCAAGTTATGTTTATTTGTCATGTGCAGGTTAATAGTACAATGGAATGTTTGGGATGAGAAGAACTGATTTGACTCTTAAAAACTACAAACAAGTCTCCCATCCTAAGCAAGCACTGAGGCAACAGTGGAAAGGAAAAACTCCCTCATAAAGAAGAAACCTCCAGCAGGACCAGGCTCAGGACAAGCGGCCATCTGCTTGACAGGGAGACAATGGAGAGAAACTAAAACTGGAAAGATATGATCTCTCCTACTAACTCCAGTTAAGACTCTGGCAGCAGCATTTTGGATCAACAAGACTTATTTGGACACCCAGATAACAAACCATTGCAATAGTCCAGTCTATATGTGACAAATGCATGAACCAGTTTTCCTGCATCATTTTTAGATAAGATGTTTCTAGTTTTAGTGATATTACGCAGGTGGAAGAAGGCAGTTCTAGTAACGTTTTTAATGTGGGAGTTAAAAGGCATCTGATCAAAAATAACACCAAGATGTTTAACATTAGAGCTGGAGGCCAGATTAATGTCATCCAAGGAAGACGAAAGACTGAAAAATTTATTCCTAAGATGCTCAGGTCCAAAAACCACAACCTCAGTCTTGCCTGTGTTCAAAAACAGAAAATTCAGGTTCATCCAGGTTTTTATGTCTTTAAGACATGCTTGTAGTCTAAGTAACTGATTGGATTCATTGGGTTTCATGCAATTATAACTGTTTATCATCAGCATAAAAAAAGAAAACCCCATGCTGTTTAATAACTTATAATGAAAACATACAGGTATACAAGGCTGAACCCTGAGGAACTCCATGACCAACTTTGGTGTATGAAGAAGATTCATTATTTACATTATAAAGCGTAATCTATCAGATACATATGATTTAAACCATTTTAGAGTGGTTCCAGTAATCCCAATTCAAGCCTCTGTAGTAGAATATTGTGATAAACTGTATCAAATGCGGCAGCACGGTGGCGCAACTGGTAGAGCTGCTGCCTCTCAGCGAGCAGGTCCATGGTTCAAACCCCTGTCCAGGGGCCTTTCTGGATGGAGCTTGCATGTTTTCTCCGTGCATGCGTGGGTTTTCTCCGGGTACTCCGGTTTCCTCCCACAGACCAAAAACATGCATGTTAGGCTGATTGGTAACTCTAAATTGTCCCTAGGTGTGAGTGAGAGAGTGAATGGTTGTTTGTCTCGTTTGTCTCTATGTGGCCCTGTGATGGACTTGCGACCTGTCCAGGGTGTACCCCGCCCCTTGCACAGTGATTGCTGGACATGGGCACCAGCGACCCCCGTGACCCAAAATGGAATAAGCGGGTAAAGATAATGGATGGATGGATGTATCAAATGCAGCACTGAGGTCTAACAGGACCAGTGTAGTACGTTTATGAGAGCGGTAATTCTTTTCCTTCAATCCGTGATGCTTCCTGTAGCTGCAGGAGATGCACTCTGTAAAGTCTGCTTCCATCACTTTGAAGGCCAAATGCAACAACATTCATGCTCAAACATAAAATGCATTACTCAAAGTATACAAGCTTTGATTTAGTTCAGTTCACTATGTTTGTATCCAGCTCACGTTTGGTTTGTGTGTATGAACTCCATTCAGCAAATGCTGTAAAGGGCTAATGTTCTGGATTATTGGGTAATCTGAACATCTCTGTAAATATATAGTTTTTTCCACATCCTTCCATCTGATTTATCCTCTTCAAAATGTTGCATTCACTAAGCCATGACATTATAATCCTTCTCGTCTTCAACTAAATAAATATAAAGATGCCTGTCTGCCAAATGACGTCACCGTGCATGTGTGTAAGGTGCAATTAAAACAGTGGTGTTAGGGAATAGTTTAAAAACATTGAGATTCCCATCAACATGCTCCACGTTCTTAAAGACAACTGCTAAACTTGTCTCAGTGTGAATTATATCATGATAGACTTTGTTTTTCTCATGAGAATGTCTGAAACATAAATGTTAAATGAGATGTTTATTAAAAGCATCCATGGCAAACCAAAATTATTTTAGAAAATAAGCAATGAAAGGCTTTTGAACCCTATCATGATCACGGTTATTAAAATAATAGATTTTATTATTTATCTTACGTATTAAATTTTTGTTATCATTAAAATCATTATTAGTTTATTGTGGTGACCTCTGAAGGAGGGAGCAGCTGCAAGAGAAAAAAAAAAGGGGTGTTTGCAAGTTTAAGAAAAGCTTCAGAAAAAACTAGAGGTGAAGATTATTTCATCCTCTTCAATAAAACGAGTCTTTGCAACGTCTTTGTTGTCACTATAGCCACTAGGGGTCAGCCTTTGTTTATTTCTTAGAAGTATTCAGTTTTTATCTAAAGTTTTTGCAACACAAATTTTCTATAAAACAATACAACATTGCAACCTCAGCATATTTTCCTCAGACTTCTTCTTCTTTCGGCTTTTCCCTCTTCAGGGTCTCCACAGTGAGTCATCCTCCTCCATCTCACTCTGTCCTCTGCATCCTCTGTCCTCACTCCAACTACCTCCATGTCCTCTCTAACTGCATTCATATATCTCCTCTTTGTCTTTTTCTTGGCAGCTGCATTTCTAACATCCTTCTACCAGTATACCCACTGTCCCTCCTCTGGACATGTCCAAACCATCTCTGTCTGGCCTCTATAACTTTATCTCCCAGTTGTTCAACCTGTGCTGTACCTCTGATGACCTCATTCCTAATCTTATCCATCCTTGTCGCTCCTAAGGAGAACCTCAATAACTTTATTTCTGACACTTCCAGTTCTTTCTCCTGTCTTTTTGTCAGTGCACTGTCTCCAGAGACCATACAACATCTCACAACTGTCTTATAAACTTGTTCCACCAGCCTCCCTCTCATTCACACACATGTACTCTGTCTTACTACAGCTGACTTTCATTCCTCTTCTTTCAAGTGAATGCAGCCACCTCTCTAAATTCTCTTCCACCTGTGCCCTGGTCTCACTCCCACTTCATACCTTCCATGTTTTCCTCCAACTACTCATTATTTCAGCATTATTTATCAGTTTTTTTTTATTAATTTTTTTTAGTTTATTTACTTCTTGAACGCTATGGGACAACAATCACCAACTGAGATGGGCAATGTTTCAGACAGTTTATCTACATATTTTGTGAGCTCCAGATTGGAGCCACCACTTCCGGTGTGTTTAAAGCGCTCACGGAGTCTCTTTCACAATTAGAGTACACATCGCCCATGCATTGTGTACAGCATGGCAAAAACCAGGCCTCCGTTTGTCATTTGCACCTTATTGTAATCTTTAAGACAAGTTTGTTCAACCAAGACCTTTAGGTGTTCATCACCTCTATTTGATTTCACTAAAGTGCTCTGTTGCGTTTCGAAATCCTCCTTGAACTTTGTTTTGATAGTAGCAATAACCGGAAGTGCGTTTTTTTTTTTTTTTGTCGCTGTCCATGAAAACTTGACGACTCGTCTTTTCCCTCGTCTGCTTGGGGAAGGCAGTAAGGGGAGTGGACGGTGCTGGTGTTTACCTGCCTATCCTTCGACGGAGTTTCGTTTCCAAACAAACACCTGTGAGGAGTTCTGGTTCTCTGGCGGACTGCTAAGAGTCCTTCCCCGGTGTGGTCATGGATGTGAGCGGGTCATTGTGGATGAAAGATTTCAACGTCTCCTCTCGTCCCAACAGCAGCTTCTGTTGACTTTAAACGGACTTCCTCGGTACCTCCGGACTCTGGTTGAAATATTTCAAAAGTTACTTTTTCTTTGTTTTTGACCACTAGCATTTTTACTGCTCGTTCTGTCCGCTTGGATTCATCCCTTTAATAAGTTTTTTGGTGTTCCGGGGAGCGGACGCGGCGGAGTGAACAGGGCTCTCCGGGTCGGGACCGAGGCTGGACTCGGTTCTGAAAATGGAGGTTGTTCTGGAGAAGGAATGCAGCGCGCTGGGAGGACTCTTCCAGACTCTGATCGGAGACATGAAGGTTAGTTGAAGACCACAGCTTCTATGAGTGCGATTACTGGTTAACAACTGAATAACTACTAGATAGCAACTGAATAACATCTGGTTAACAACTGGTTAAAAACTGGATAACTACTAGATAGCAACTGAATAACAGCTGTTTAACAACTGAATAAAATCTGGTTAACATCTGGTTAACAACTGGACAACTACTAGATAGCAACTGAATAACAGCTGTTTAACAACTGAATAACATCTGGTTAACAACTGAATAACTACTAGATAGCAACTGAAT